TGAGATAGAAGCTTTTTTTTTTTTTTTTAACGAGACAGGGTTTCTTTGTATTGTTTTGTTGTTTTGGAGGCTGTCCGTCCAGCCCGGCCTCGAACTCACAGAGATCCGCCTGCCTCTGCCTCCCGAGTGCTGGGATTAAAGGCGTGAGCTACCACCGCCCGTCGAGATAGCAGGTTTTTAAGAAAGACTTGAAGGAAGTAAAGGAGTAAGTTGGGTGGGAGAGGGAGAAGGGAGAGCAGTCCAGGAAGTGAGAAGAGTTAAAGCAAAGGAACTGGATTAAAAGAACTAGTGGGGCCGGGCGTTGGTGGCACACGCCTTTAATCCCAGCACTCAGGAGGCAGAGGCAGGCGGATCTCTGTGAGTTCGAGGCCAGCCTGGTCTACAGAGTGAGTTCCAGGACAGCCTCCAAAACAATACAGAGAAACCCTGTCTTGAAAAACCAAAAAAAAAAAAAAAACAAAAAAAACTAGTGGGGGCCGGGAGTTGGTGGTGCACGCCTTTAATCCCAGCACTCAAGGGGCAGAGGCAGGTGGATCTCTGTGAGTCTGAGGCCAGCCTGATCCACAGAGCGAGCTCCAGGATAGCCAAGGCTACACTGAGAAACCCTGTCTCAACAAATAAACACACAAGCAAACAAGCAGCCTTGGTGGGAAGCTGCTGACTGCCATGGAGCCTCTGACATGGAGCTGGGACCACCCCCGGGGGGGGGGGGGGGGGCTGGGAAGGCTTGGGCATGATTTTATTTGTTGTTTTGAAATTTTTCCAAACACATTTGTGATAGGATAGTAAAATACAGTCCTACATATCTGCCCAGCTGCTGTTTGTCTTCATTTAACAACTTTAGTAAGAACCTCTTCTCTGAGCAGGCATTCTACAAGGCACTGAGTGGCTACCACCACTGGGTCCAAAACAATGTCTATCTAGCCTTGACCTTTGTTCAACTCCTCACCCATCCACCTGACCAGTCTTTTTGCCTTTGCTAGAGTGTCACAGACCAGGAATCTTGCAGCTTGTGATCTTTTGGCCTGTCCCCCCTCATTTTGATGCCCCTGCAATTGACTGGTACACTGGGCCACTCAGCACCCTGTCCCTTGACTGCTACATAAGATCTGAGAAACGGTGTTACATGCCCTTCTGCCAACTGCCTGAGGGTGGCCCAGAAGTGAAACAGGCATTAGGGACTCTGTACTGGTCCCAAGGACAGTGACAACATAGCCATTGTCCACAGTCTCAAGCTTTTCCTACTTAGTGACAGGAAGGAAAGTTCTACCCTCAACCTCCACTCTTTCTGTTGCCATGACTAGGAGGTCTCCAGGAGAGACATTTTGTCTCTTTGCTGTAGTACTATAACCAGCCTAGGAAGAAATGAAGATATTCTAAAGACACTGTTGTATCTCTCCATGTAACTATCAAGACTGTTGAAACAATGGACCCTAAGGAAATAGGAATTTCCCAAGGAATCTGATGGAAGAACCTGTCTTCCCTGGAAGATTTCACATAGGCAACAAGTTGTCAGAGCACCTTACGGGACAGTGATCGGTCAGCGGTTAGCAGGACCACACCTTGACTGTCACTGCTTAGATGTGCACATTCTTGGCTTTCAATTTAAACTTTGCTCTTAACTTCAGGATTCCAAAAACTTGGGGGTTTGATGGAATTTTTAGTCTTTTCTCAATGTGGCTATATTAGTTGCTTAAAAAAAAAAAAAGGATTTCTCTGTGTAACTGTCCTGGCTATCCTGGAACTCTCTCTGTAGGCCAGGTTGGTCTTGAACTCAGAGATCTGTCTGCCTCTGCCTTCTGAGTGCTAGGATTAAAGGTGTGCACCACCTCTGATAGGCCATGGCCATATTGAATAAATCTTTGTTCTTTTCCTTCATTTGAGCTAAGGAACATAAACTTGTCTGGTGTCCAGGCATCTTGATGTTGGAGACCAAGGCCTGATCAAGCCTGGCTCATCTGTCCCTGGCCTGCTGTGTGGCCTCAGGTCAGTTACAGGCTATCTCTGGGTCTCTGTCCCTCCACCAGGCTCCTGCAGAGCTGGCTGTCTGTGTTCTTGGCTCTTGTCCTGGAGCTCCCATGTCCTCTCTCCTCCTAGGAGACACACCTTTGCTGGGTCTAAGTGACATGGGTATGGGTGGGATGGCGGAGGCCTGACTGTTCAGTAGCTCAACATTTTTCCAGTGAGCCCCTCATTCCCATTGCACCTCTCAGTTCTGTAATTATTTTTATTTTCTGATTAGAAGCATGTGGGATGCTCATTTTAAAAGCTCAGAAAAAAGTAGGAAAATATTAAAAGTTCCTCTTAAATTTACTAGCAAGTCCAATGTGGCCATATATTCTTAGAGAGCAGCCTAACCTTGTCACTCATTGTTTCACCCTAACCTTGTTACTCATTGTTTCACTCGCCTACCCCGCCCCCTCCACTTGTGCTCTCTGAGCTGCAACTTTGTGTTCTAGACTGGGGATGTGCTCAAAAATGGGGCAAAGTGCTTGCTCACACAGAGACTTTGGCACAAACAGTTTTTCCAGAAATGAAATCAAGTTAAATTTTCTGTTTTTGTTATTTTGGCTTGGTTTTTGAGATAGGATCTCTATAAGACCAAGGGTGGCCTTGACCTTGAACTTGCAACCTTGCCTCAGCTCTTGAGTGCTTGGATCATAGGCATGAGCTGGCTCATATTTGCTGCTTTATACCTTTTTTTTTTCATTTAACTGTGAACCTTTTTTTTTTTTTTTTGGTTTTTGAGACAGGGTTTCTCTGTATTGTTTTGGAGGCTGTCAGTCCAGCCCGGCCTCGAACTCAGAGATCTGCCTGCCTCTGCCTCCCAAGTGCTGGGATTAAAAGCGTGAGCCACCACCGCCCGGCTTACCATTTTCATTGTTATAGGCTAGATCTGAACTGTTCCCTCCAAGCCCCATGGGTTGGAAGCCATTCCCCAGCAGCTTGACATCATTGGGAGTTGGTAGACCTTTAAGTAGGTAGGGTCTATTAAAAAGTAGGTTAAGTCACTGTGTCTTCTTTTACTTTGTGACCATGAGGTGAGTGACTTACCACAATGTACTGCCACAGGCCCCAAATGAGGGGCCTCCAAAGCTGTGGCCCAAACCCAACCTCTTCATATGTTTATTATCCTGGACATTCTGTTATAAGGCAGAAATCTGGTTAGCAAAGTAACAAAGTCAGAAATTTTTAAACAAGATTTATTATTTTTATTTTATATGTATGAGTGTTTTGCCAGCATATATGTCTGTGCACCACGTTTATGCACGATGTTTGTGGAAAGTAGGAGAGTGCTTCGGACCCTGCCTGGAACATGGTCCAAGAATGGAGTTGTGTGAAGAGATTTCTAAATACTTGGGAGAAAAATTCAGGAAACCAAAGCAAGACTCTTGTGACTTCAGTTTCTTCAGAAACACAGAATTGTTATTGGATTGTGCTTTTACATCCGCCATGTGCAGCTTGCCCTTGTGACTGTACACTTTATTCATGTCTCTTCTTAACCCTCGGGTATAAACTGTCTGATGCTCTGAATAAAGTTGACTATTGGATAGGACTTTAGTCTGTCTCACTTGTTGGTTCCATTCTCCTCCATCCCAGAGCCACTAGAGCAGTAAACAGATCCCCTGGTACTGGAGTTAGGATAGAGGCAAACCACCATGTGGTGCTGGGAGTCAAACCCAGGTCCTCTGTAAGAACAGCAAGTGCTCTTAACTGCTGAGCCATCTCTCCAGTCCCCACAAAGTCATATTTCAAAACAAACAAACAAAACAAAACATTGACATTTCTTATCTGTGAGACACTGGCACAAATACTCCCTTGCAGACACCATGCCCACAAAGCCAATCTGACTGAGGTAGTACCTCTCAGATGACTTTAGGATTTGTCAATCTGACAGTCAAAGCTAACTATGATTGACCTCATATTTGCATAAAAACTGCTTTATTATAGAGATGACCTGTTACCTGGCATTGTGTAAATGCTACAGAAATAGCTGCTATGTTGTCCTTTTAGAAAATAATATCAAGGAAAAAACTCTGTACATGCTCAGCACAGATCGGGAACTTGTGTGCATGAAGGCTCCCTGCAGGTTCAGAACTGAGGAAAACCTGCCTCCCATTTTGTCTGTCATCTGCTCCGCTCTCCCTAGTCACATGCAATGGAATTAAAAAAAAAACCTGTCCCTATGTAATCTTCCAGAATTTTACACCCGTAAATACAAGTTAGTACAAATCTACATTTGTTCCTCTAACATTTAGCATTTAATCCTAAAGTGAAACCCATCCCTTAGCAGTCTTTCCTGGAGGCCCGCCCAAAGTGGCACTGCCTTCTTGTCCCCATTCTTCCATTGCTATGAAGTGCTCTGCAATGACAGAACGTGGCCATCTGATGCTGGCAAGGCTCCAGTCATTCATTTTGTACAGGCTCCAATGGACAGCAGCCTGGGTCATGTCTAAATACAGCATCTCACTGGGCCTGGGGGAGGGGGCAGGCCTGTCATCCTGGCTACTTGGGAGGCTGAGGTAGGAGAAGCACAAATTCATGACTGGCCTCAAATCAAAGAAATTAGAGAGGGCTGGGGATGTACTTCAGTTACTGAGCATGTGCATGGCACACAGGAGGCCCTAGGCTCAAATCTCCAGTAATACAACAATAAGTAAACACATTAGAAAATTATAACTGGAACCTTTTTGTCTCAGCTGTGGATCCTAGGTCACTCCAAATTATCACATCTCTGAGTGACTCTGTTGCTATATATTTTTTTCTTCTCTTCCCCAGAAATCCTCTCTGGAGAAGGCGCTAGAAACAGCATTGAGTCAGTGCGTCTCATGGTTAGCTTCCCGTGTGTTACCTGATCAGCTCTGCCTGCCTACTGGAGAGTCTGGGGCCATGAGATGAGGGTCATGGCCTGATAGCAACTGAAGATTTTCCACCGGCCTCTTGGTGGCAGTTGGGACATGACCCCAGTGAGACTGAGTCCAGAATCTGACACCTTGAACTGTGGACAAGCAAGGACATCAAGCAGCTGGCCTGTCCCACATATTTATTGGCAAGAGCAGCATCCAAAAAATATAGAAGAATCTGGGCCCTCAGGATGCAGGAACAGTGAGGGGTTGCTCAAACCAGGGAGACGTTGGGGGTCCAACAAGAAGAGCCATGTAGTCCCACGGGGCTGCCGGTCTTGCCTGGGGATCTGGTCACTGCGGCTGACCGTCCCAGGTCTTCACGGTAAACAGGAACTGGAAAGTAAGCTTTGGTATGTCTGTGCTTACATAGTGGCAGTAACAGCACAGCATGGTCCACACTGTGGTAGCTGAAGGAGGGGCAATGCCTGCTGGGACCTCAAGCAACAATGAGGCTATTCATTTGCCATCCACACATATCTTCTTTGGGGATGTATCTGTTCAAACCCTTCATGCATTTTCATTGGCTGGAGGCTTTCTCACTCTCCAGTTGTAGGAGGCTTTTCACATATTCTAATACCAGTCCTGCATCTGAAATGTTTTGTGAAGATCTTTTTCTCAGCTTGCTTTGAACATTAAACACGGTCATTAGCACTTAGTAAGTGGGTGCTATAATCACTGTCAATATTGCCACAGTTAGTTCATTGCCCCATTATGACACTGTGGCTAGGGGCATGGGCCCTCAGATCAGAACTGCCAATGGCATTTGTCTATCAATTCTTCTTGGTACCCCCAAGCCTGTCACTCAGGTCCCTCCAGCTAGACCTTCTTGAGGAAGCCAACAGCCTCCAGTGGAGCCTAAGGCTATAGTTGTTTATGACACTCATTTATCAGAACCTGTCAGCTGGCCCAGGCTGTTTGCTAGAGCTATTCATGAGAGGGAAGGGAGGTCCTGGAATATTGCCCTCCCTGCCCCTGCCCTTTCTGAGCCACACAGCCACAGTCTTCCCCAGCTTCTAGCCCACACAGGCAGTCTGCCTTAGCTAGGTACCTGCAGCTAGATCTTCTTGCCTCATTCCTGATTCCTTTTTGCCGCAAGAGACCACTGAGGCTCAAAGATGTGACGATTATGGGACCAAGATGTGCTCCAAGCACTTGCACTGGTGGCATCATTCTCATTACCCACTCCTGCCTAGCCATATGGAGACCCACTGTGGGTAAAGACAATTGCTGAACACCTAGCAGGTGCCACACAGCGGACTCTTCCAGAATGGTCACATATCAGTGAAGTTCTTGTCCTTGTGTGATTCTTTGCATGACAAACTAAAAGTAGAGCATTAGAGACCCAGAGCTTGACTACTGGTTCAGGTGGGACCTTTCATGTACAACCTGGTCTCAGAGGGTCCAGGAATGGTGTGGTCACATCTTTGCTGTGATGACAAGAGTCCCCAGAGTCCCAATTTACCCAAGTCCCCTTTCCTTCCCTCTTCTAGTTCATTCTGGGTCTCCATTTCTGCCCCTATCCTAAGTGCTTATGCTGTCCTCCCCTCCCAAAGCTGGCATCACTGTTATCTACACAAATCTCCCAAAAGAAACAGGATGACTACTTGTGTAGAGGGCAGTTTGGTCTTACCTGTCTCTTTTCCCATGCAAAGGATCTTGGCCCTAACCGGCCCTTTCCGGGGTTGTCTTTCTCAGATCTGCTCACACGCGTGAGGAGGAATTGTCTGCACAAAGACAGCCATGGTCGCTGCAAATTCCTGGAGCCACCTAGATGCTGGCTAAACACACCACAGAGAGTCATCCATTACAAGGCCCCTGGGGTTCCTGCCTGATTACTGGAAGCTCAGGTGATGGGGCCTTTGGGTAAATCCCAGTGGGACTTTGGACCTTGGGGGACAGAGTAGACCCACCCTGTTATACTAGCTGTTTTGTGTTACCAAATGTAGGGTGTTTTGTGCCAGGAAAGAGCATAAGTTGGGCAGTGACTTGAGGAATTCTTCCTTAACTAACAGACAGACACCTGCTGTTGTGACCTGCCAGAGACTGAAGAAGCTGTTGGGGCAGCACTGGTTTAGAAACTGTTTGGGTCAAGCCCGAGCCTACAGTTCACCCTGCACAATAAAATAAGGGCAACACTAACATTTGCTTTGATCCCATCTCCTTCCCCATACCCAGTAGACACCATTTGAGTCTGGGGTTTTGAGTCACTAAAAGGCATTGAGTCCCTTGGGTCCAACCTGCCATTGAAGATCTTGGGTTGGCGACTCAGGAAGGTTACACGGAAGTGACAGGATTTGAGCTGTACAGAACAGGCAGGCTTAAAGAATCTATATTTCATCTTTTTATGTTAAAGCACTATTAACATTAATTATATTAATCAGTTATGTTGGTATTTAAATCCTAAATACTTAAAAATATCCTGAAAATATTACATACTTCTTTTTTTTTTGGTTTTTCGAGACAGGGTTTCTCTGTGGCTTTGGAGGCTGTCCTGGAACTAGCTCTTGTAGACCAGGCTGGAATATTACATACTTCTTGTGCAAATATTTGATGGATAAAGTTTAAAGAGAAATCACCAGGATGGGACTTAGGGTTGGTCGGTTATATCTAGTGAGACCTTGTCTTGAAATAAAAGGAGAGCTATTAAGATTTCCAGTGCTGGCTGGGCGTTGGTGGCACACGCCTTTAATCCCAGCACTCGGGAGGCAGAGGCAGGCGGATCTCTGTGAGTTTGAGACCAGCCTGGTCTACAGGGTGAGTTCCAGGACAGCCTCCAAAGCCACAGAGAAACTCTGTCTCGAAAAACCATAAAAAAAAAAAGATATCCAGTGCTGACCTCTGGCCTCCACATATGAGTGCACATGCATGCATGCACACATGTACACACATACACACAGCCGTCACGAATGAGCTGCAGCTTTTTCCTGTTTCTACCAGGCAGCACACCTGCCACAGCCTGTGGGAAACTCTCCTCTGGCTTCAGTGGAGAAGAGACTAGCTGGTGAAAGGGAGAGTCCCCTCATCCACCAAAGAACTCTTGGCTAGTCAGTGAGGTGGCACACACCTTTAATCCCAGTACTTGGGAGACAGAGGTAGGGGAATCTCTGTAAATTCAAGGTCAGTCAGGTCTACATAGTAAGTTCCAGGACAGCCAGGACTCTGTAGAGAGACCCTGTCTTAAAGAAAAAAGAAAAAGGACTTCATGGTTATAACTTTTGTCAGCTATCAACCCCTCTGCCTCTATGGGACCCTCCCTGTTATCACAGTGGCCCTTCTGCTCCTCTGGTACCAGCCCCTCCCTTGAGGTGTGGTTCTACCCTGAGGGGTAAGGACAGCATTTGTTCCTAAAACTGGTCAGTTCTTGGCTCAAGATCCTCAAAACAGCAAATAATCTGAGGCTCAGGACAGCCCTTAGTACAACAAATAAACAGGATCAGGACAGTGTAAATCGGGAGGCCAAGGTAGGCACTGCTCTGAGAGTCCTCTCTGCTATCAACAGATAAATGCCTCAACCCATCGGAGCCCTGGGTCCCAGGAGAAGGAATTCACTTTCCCAGGAGACTCCCGTCAATCCACCCCCACCCCAATCAATCCAGACAAGTTCTTCTCAGAACCTTATGAGTCCAAAGGTCAAACATGTGAACATACTTTCTTCCTGACACAAGGAAGAGCAATTGCACATTGGAAATACGAAGCAGGTGCACAGGTGTTGTCTGAGACCTGGATCCCAGGCAAGAGGAAGGCACAGGTCTTCTGGAAGAGCAGTCAGTGTTCTTAAGTTCTGAGCTATGTCTCCAGCCCCATTCAGACCCTTTTTTGGAGACAGGGTCTCTAGCTCAGGATGGTCTCAAACTTTCTACACAGCAGAAGATGACCTTGAATTTCTCTACCTCTCCAGCACTGGGATTACAGGCATGTGCCACCATACCTGGTGCTGGGGAATTGAACCCAGAGCCTCCTGCATGACAGGCAAGCATTCTACTGAAGTACGACTTAAGCCACTGTACCGGACTCTGCTATCCTTTGTTTCTGAGAGCTGTATGACTCTGCAACCATTCTCACTCTGGCCAGAAGGGGCGCAATTCCCCCGGTCTTCTCCTGAGGGACGGCTGAGGGGGTGCTAAGAGGAAAGGTTATGATTGGTCCACACAAACGGCCCTGAGAGGCACAACTACCGGCAGACTACTCAGGCTCTCTAGACAGTCTCCTGTGCTCCACCATCCCTGGCGTTAAATTAGGGCCCAGGTGATCTTTCTGCCCTTGCTTTCAGTAGTGTGGGCTGGGCTGGTAACACCTCAAGAGATAAAAAGCAGAGGCAGTAGCAAATGGCGATTATACACCAGAAGACAGCAGGAGAGGCAACAAGAGGCAGCGGAACAGCAGTGGCAGTGACGGCTGAGCAGGGGGCAAACTAAGCTGTGAGAGCAACAGGCAGCTGACTATCACCGAATAAAATGGTGGTAGTCTTGGTGATAGTCCCAGTGGAGGTGACAGTGGCCCTGTGAGAAGGCCTGCTAGGTGTTCTGGTTTCCCCTGTGTCCCCAGCTGCCACGACTTCCTAGCAGCAGCTAAGCTGTGGAAGGAGTCAGGCAACTTGGGGGTGTCTGAGAGGGGCAGAAGCAATGATGCCTGCGGATGGGAAAGAAAGACCCGTCCAAGGACTGGCGAGGCTAAAGCGTGAGAATCCAGAAGTCAAGGCTAGCCGGGCGTTGGTGGCACACGCCTTTTATCCCAGCACTCGGGAGGCAGAGTCAGGTGGATCTCTGTGAGTTCGAGGCCAGTCTGGTCTACAAAGTGAGTTCCAGGACAGCCTCCAAAACAGTACCGAGAAACCCTGTCTCCAAAAACAAAAAACAAAAAACAACAACAAAAAAAAAAAGTCAAGGCTATCTTGGCCTATGTCTTGAGATGCTATCTTCCAAGACACAGACACACAGACAGGCAGACAGACACACACACAAAATCATATGTGCACATGGGACAGAGACAAATGGTTGGCTCCAGGTTCCTCTGCTGCATTGTGGCTCAGGTTGGAGGGCAGCCCTGTGCAGGCTGCCCATGTGGTGAAGCTGATGCAGTGCTAATGTACTCTTGCCTTGCCCCTCTTTTCTTGGCTGTGTGACTATGGGCAAGTCACTGGTCTGTTTTTGTTTGTTTTTCTTGAGACAGGGTTTCTTTGTGGCTTTGGAGGCTGTCCTGGAACTATCTCTTGTAGACCAGGCTGCTCTCAAACTCAGAGATCTGCCTGGCTCTGCTTCCCAAGTGCAGGGATTAATGGTGTGCACAACCACTGCCCGACCTTGGTTTTTTTATGAGTTATTTCTTTATTTTTATTTGCATTAGTGTTTTGCTTGCATGTATGTCTGTGTGAGGCTGCCAGATCTTGGAGTTGCAGACTTGTGAGCTACCATGTGGTTGCTAGGAATTGAGCCCCAGTCCTTTGGAAGAGCAGCCAGCACTCTCAACCGCTGAGCCTCCCACCTCTCCAGCCCAACTGGTCTGTTTTTGATGCTTCTCACCAAATCCTGCCAATAAGAACACCCTGGTAGTCCTGGGTTCCAGATAGCAGGAAAACACCCTCATGATACTTGGAGTCATCCTTGATCATGTGGGTTAGGATCTGGCCTCCTCCCTCCCAGCTGTGAGACCTGGCCAGGACACTTGAGTTTTAGTCTCCTCATCTGGGAGAAGAATTTCCAACTATGCCATCTTCACCAACGTGTGAACTTATGAGGCCTGGCATGAGATTGAGTGACAATAAATACTTGTGTTCTGTATCTGAGGCAGGAAGGGCCATGTTGGACATCTTTCGGCCTGGAACTCTTCTTTGATGCAGTCAGAGGGCTCCACACAACCCTGTAAGGACCTGGGTAGTCCAGATCCAAGGACAAGGTGCTACTGTGTTTCTAGAAAGCCATGGAAGAAACTTAGGGAAATCCGTGTGGTTCAGAAGAGCACTGTGAAGCCTTTTAATGAGAGCATGGGCAGAAAAAGACAGGGGAAAGTGTCATGATCTGCCAGACTGGAGTTTGAACAATAGCCTTGCCACTGCAGCAGTCTTGTGTATGTGCAGGTCTTCTTCTTGTTTTCTAGTCTTCTTTGTGTCCATGAAATGCGCACCTCCTTGGGAGGTGTGTGCTCCAAGTGTTCAGTGAGTGTCTTCTGTGCACTGTGGAGGTCAGTAGCCAAGTATGGCACTGCTCCTTACAGCTTGCCTCCTAAGGAGTCCTCATGAGGGATAAGCACACACTAGGGCTGCAAAATGGGGCTTGCTGTTGTACTGGTAGCATCATGCCACATGTAGGAACTCAATATTTCAAAATGGTGGCCATTTAAATACAGAAGGTGAAAATAAAAAATAAAACATATTTAGCAGTAAGTCTTGTGGGATATTTGTACACCATGTGAAGATGTGTGATTGGTGTAATAAAGAACTGAACAGCCAATAGCTAGTCAGGAGAGGACAGGGGATTTCTAGGAGAGAGAGGAAGAGGAAGAGGAGTCTAGGCACATGGATTACACCAGCAGACTTGGAGAGTCGGATATACTGTACCGAGGAAAGGTAAAAGCCACATAACAAAATATAGCGTAATAGGAGCAGGTTAATTTGAGTTACAAGAGCCTAAGCTAAGGCCAAGCTTTCACACTTAATAATAAGTCTCCATGTCATTAATTTTGGGCGGATAGTCCCGAGGAGAAAGCATTACTATGAAGTCTCCCCTGTGGCTCTTCCCATGGCCGAAGGAGAAGGGTGGAAATGTATCAGGAATGCAAGGAGGGCATTCCTGACTGAGGCAACAGCCTTCGCAAAGGCAGGATCAAGAAGGAAAGCTTGGTTGGGAAGCATCTAGAGATGTCAAGAGGGCCAGAGTGTTGGAAATTCCCTACCTAGGGAACAGGAAGTGTCTGGAGCTTGGGCAACCCTTTTTCAGAGAGCTTCCTCTGAAGCATTGTGGAGGGTCTGCAGCAACTAGCACAGCTGGAGAGCAGACAAGGATGGTTTATCCTGTGCAGGACACCCACGCAGCACAGCCACACGAGGTGTGGTCACTAGAAGGAATCCCCCCAGGTCAGGAAGCCCTGGAGGCTCTGCAGATGGCACTGAACATACACACAGCTTGCATGACTGCTGCTCCTGTGCAGCCATGCTACATGCATACAAACACGTGCACTTTGTGGGTATTCAGGCGTGATTGGGGTGTATGGTCAGCACATGGGGACAACACTGCAAGGGCTGCATCTTAGGGAGAAGCTGGCCTTTCAGCTCTGACCACCCCAGTGACACAGCTACCTTGGGACTTCCGCACTACTATTCCCTCTGATGGAAATGGTTACCCTTTCTCTTACCTCAAGTCTTTGCTTCTGTATCACCTGTAGGGAGGCTTTTTCTGAACGCCCTCATTAAAATGACACCCCCACCTCTAGACACAATGTTTCTCTTCTGCTTTTTTGGACAGTTTGTCAACCTGAGATACCCTATCATTTAACTTAGGCCAGAAGTCCATTTCTTCCTGGGAGCAGAATTGTGCCTGTTTTGTTCAGTAATGACCCCACAATGTTAGGCACACAGTATGTGCTCAATGAATGAGGTTGCCACCCCCACTGGGTTTGGACCCCCACTTTCTCCAACCATCACTCCAGGTCCTGCCTACCTCAAACATCCACATGCTAACACAGGCTGAACCCTTCCCATCCTAAGCCTCAGTTTCCCTTAGTTTGCAGAGGGGGGCTGTAAAAGGCAGCCCATTGGGAGCTGGGTCCAATGCTCTGGTCAGTTTCTAATTGGTCATATACTTCCCCAGCTTAACTGTTCTTAGAGACAGGAGTGCAACAGATGCTGTTGCCAGAGGTGGCCAGAGAGAAAAAAACCTAGTGGCCTTCCATCATGCCCCTTACTCCAGCAACTGACTGGCTTGGAGGTGCATCCTAGCCTGGCTTCATGAGCAACTCCACTCCCAGGACTGGCTTTGCTGTTCTTCCAAGGATGGTCTCTTACTTCTCTGCCTGGCTACTAGTCCATGAAGGTCACCTTCCTTGACCCCACCCAGGTGAAGTAGGGCCTCCTCTTAGGACTCTTGCATCTATTTATAGCACTCCACATGGAGTTTGTGATTCCTGGGCTGTTTGTCAAGTTGTCTGACTAACCCATTAAACTCCTCCTGTTTGAGGACCTTGTCTGAGTCACCCTGGTGCCTGGCAGGCTGGCACGGGACTAGAATCACTTTACCCATGTCTGTGGCATGCTTTTCTACTTCCTCTGCTCATTCCTCAAATAGTTCTTAGGCACCTACTATGTGCGTGGCTCTGGGCTAAGCCTTGGGGTACGGCAGGGGATGAGACAGTCAGGATTCCTAATGGGGAATTCCTAATGGGGGGAGGCGGGTGGCACGGGAGGAGGGGTGCGGTAGAAACCAAGTATGCAAGCAAGGCATTGGTGCCCTGAGTGCTGGCCAGAGAGCTAAGACTCACTCAGGCTCCGACTGATTCCTTGACCTTGCGCTTCTTGCCCTCACTACGCCTGGCTTTCCATCCGATCCCAGAGACTCCCGGTTAGTGTGAGGACAGAGGCTCAGCGACCGACGGCCGAGATGGAACCCCACTCAAGGTTGGCCAAAGGTATTTCGATGTTTGGAATGACACCTTTTTATCTGAGACTACCCCTAGCCCTCGGAATAGAGCGGCTACAATGTTACAACCAAAAAGTTACTTTGTTACTAGGGACCACCAGGTTAGCCGCTGAATTCCGGTGCTCCTTAAGAGCCGGCGTGTCAGGTGCTCGTGCGCGCTTGGCAAGGCGCAGTGAACTCTTTCCCACAGTTGGTCAACACTCACCCGGCACGCGCCGCCGCGGGATCTCGTTTTCCCTGCTGCCCTAGAAGGCAGGCCCGAGGTCGCTGCTCTCTACAGGGGAGCACATGAAAGCTCACCCTCGGAACGGCGCAGTCACTTAGGAGTCCAGTCTCATTCAAGGAGCAATTTTAACTCCACTAGCCGCTTCGGTCCGGCCCGATCATCCTTGAGAGCTTGAGATTTTCCAGATTACGACCCGCACACGCTGTGCCGTAGAGGGGCACAGGCTAGGGTACCCAGGACCACGCCAGTACCATACTTCGAATGGGTAGGGCTGTCATCTTGATAGGCAAGAGGGCGGAGCCGGACCCGACTAAGGGAAAGCAGAGTTGGATTCCGGCTCCCGGAGGGTGGGGCTTGTGCGTGACAGTCCGGTCGGCGTCTGATAGGCAAGGGCCTTTTCAGGCAGGCCAATCAGCGCGAGGGGCGGGGTCTGCGTGGCGCCGTCGGCCGGCGTCCGCCGCTGCCCAGTGTGGCTGTGGCGCCGCCCGCCTCGGACGCTTGCTACCGTCGCCTCTCCGCTCCCCATCGCCTGTCGTCCGCCGCCTGCCGCCAGCAGCCATGAGCGCGCCCGGCCTCGGTGTAGACTGCTGTCCTCTAGATTAGTGCTCTCCGCTGCGACCGTCCACAGCATGGAGTCGCCCGCCGCGAGCCCGCCAGCCAGCTTGCCTCAGACCAAAGGTAGGCGCTCCCGCCCTACCGCGCGGCCCGAGCTACACTTAGTTCGAGCCCATCCGGGACACTGGACTCCCTTCCGGGCCGGGCATAGGCAATGGGACTCCAGTCCAGGACTGGGTCCAGCTCAAGCCCGGGACCTCACGGGACCTCACTGGAATCCGGATCTTAGGCTGTGGACTGCACCCAGGCAGGACCTCGTTCTTCTTACCCCGCTCCAAGTTTGGAGCGTAACCGTGAGCTCCTCGTTTAGGCTTCCGGGCTGCATCCTGAACTCAGCCGGGATTTCACTGATACCCTGCTAGAGGGTCCTAGGGATGCACCAGCCCCCTCAGGCCAGGCTCCTGGATTGTGTCCAGGCTGCAATTTACTCTCCTCTGGGCCCCAGGGCTGTGTTCTCAATGCCGGAAATCTGCCTAGTCTTGAACTCAGAACTCCTCCTCTCCTCCAGCTTCATCCATCCTTGGGAGCCCTCCTTGGCCCATGCCTTGCTGGCCTGCACACTGGCCGTCTGCACTCCTCCCTGGGGCTGTCTCTGTAGAACTTCCTGGCGGCTCCACTTCGCTCCTCAGCCCATGCTGCCTGCTGCTCGTTGACTCGGTTGCAGTCTTAGGAGTCGACCTCTTCCTGCGCTTACTGTTTCTTGGTCTGTTGCCTTCAGACCCGCTGTTTGGTACTTGGGCTTGCTGCTGGGTCAGGGGCTAACTGTACAAGGCTGGGGCTTGTCTTCTCCAAGTAACTAACCGGCTTTCTTGGAAATTTCTGTGAGGTGGCAGTGTGCTGCGTGGGCTGCAGCAGCAGCATTTGTCATGGGAAGTGAGGGGGACAAGACTTGGAGGGCAAGAGTGTTTCTTTTTTTCTTTCTTTTTTTTTCCAGGAAGAGAGGAACATGTTTTTGACATGTCAGAGACTAAGTAGGTTGGGTTGCAGACAAGAGTTCCAAACTGGACCTCCAGCTGTGAATGGGTTGGTCCTCTGCATTCTGAACCTGCCACTGCCTCACCTGGCCATTCTCTTGACACATCTAGGCCTTATTAATGAAATGGATACCAGGGGTGTGATGGGAGATTGAATGTAGGATGGTTTGAAGCAATCATGGTCGCCATGACCAAGAACCCCGGGTAGCACCAGGCACATAGTAGGTACACGGGGTGGGGGCTGGGGGGAGTTGACTGTTTCCAACTTTTCCTGCTGGAAAGGCTCAGCCCTGTGGGGTCAGGGCCCAGCTTTGGATTGCAGCTGCAGAGCAGAGATGACAGGAATGGCGGGCACTTAGAGGATGCTGGGGGCAGTAGTAGCCTTTTCTCCTTCTGACCTAGGAAACCTCGACCTCAGGAGTCCTGGTCCTGGGCAGGCTGTCCTGGGCAGGCGGGGGCCTTTCCAGTCCCCTGCAGCTGGCTTCCATGGCTGTGCAGGAGCCCAGTGGGCGGGGTAATTGCGTCTTACATAAGTGGGAGGCCAGATCCCTGACCATTGCCCAACTTCTCTGAGTAACTAGGGAGGCACTTGTTGGGGGAGGAGGCTGGGGAGGGACTTGCATGCAGACCTCGTGGAACTTGAGAACCAGGAAATTAGATGCTGCTCCAGTCAGGAAGGGTTGGAAGCAGTGTTTGTTTTAGAGGCATTTCAGCTCTTCCAGGCAAGAGATGCTGCATTAAAATAAAAGTTGCAGTTGTAGATTACAGGGGAGAGAGATTGTGGGTGACATAGCAAAGCATTGACCGGGGATACTGTCGACCCTCATGGTGACTTGAGGCTTGGCACTGGACTCTCTGGGCCTTTCTTCTGAGAGGGACAGTATAAATTTGCAGATTGTAGGTTAGGTAACATGATATTGGGTGGGTTGTGTGCAAGTTAGACTCTCTCCAAGGCCCAGGGTCCCTGTAGCCTTTTAGGGAGTCTGGAGACATCTGTGTTGGTGGAGTGACAATATCCATCCACCAACACTCTTGAGTTGTCACTTACCAAGCCTTTTGTGCTATACCACGTGCTAAACATTGCCCTGTTTATTCCTCATAGTCCCATTTGCCCATTAATAGACACTCAGGGACACTAAACATTTACAGAGGCTACACAGCTGTGGTGGACAGAGCCTGGCTACAGCAGGACTATAAGCTGATCTCCCCAGTGCTCCCTCCATCTCATTCCTAGATGAGGTGCTTAGGGGAGCAGTGGGACACGGTCATTCTGACCATCACCCCCATGTCCAGTGGACCTGGAGGCCTGCTGAAGCCGAGGGCCACCTATCGTGCATGCAGTTTTTAACAGTGGATGCTTCCACCAGTGTGACCCTGCAGTAGATGCAAAGGTGCAGGTGCAGGCCCTGGTGAGTCTGCACCAGTGTGGACTGCAGGGACTCTTTTCCACCTTTGCAGAAGACTCAAGATAAAATTTTCCTTAACTTACACATGCATGCCGCAGCATGGATGTCAAAATACACTTTGTGGGAGTCAGTTCTTTCATTCAGCCATGTGGATCAACCTTCCGCCATGTGGGTTTCGGGCATAGCACTTAGGTCATCAGGCTTGTAGTAAGTACCCTTACCTGCAGAGCCGTCCTGCCAGCCTGTTTGCTGAGGACTTTGAACAGAGCAGGGAGTGGTAGCACCTGACCTTTGACAGGGAATTTTATCTGTGAGCTTCCCACTGGACATTTGGCAGCCTGTCCTTTGTGCCCAAGCCTGGGAAGTTCTCTCCAAATGTGAGTGGCGCGTAGCCCCTCAGCTTTGATGACTCCCCCTGCCACTTTGCTCATTAGTGGGCCACTGGCTGCAGTCAAGAGGCCAAGGGCACCTGTGCTCAGGGTGGTCTGGGTCTTCATGTCCTATTTGTCATTGGGGAACACTGTATATATTGTTGGGGATGGCCTTTGGCACTCTGTGGGGGGTGTTATCTCTGTAGTTTATTGGTGGCTGGTGCCTCTGGCAGCCCAGTAAGGCTACAGGAGCACTGAATGTCTTGTCCTGCCATGCCTGCTATGTTATAGCTTTCCTCCTGTCCTGGGAGTTGGAAAGACTAGAGGGTGGCACCTTGGGGACTTCCCCGAGTCCTAGTGTGACGCACAGGAAACTCTCTATCAGCCAGCCTGTGGCTCAGGGCCTGAAGGCAGTAAAGTTCCCAGTCAGCCTGTGTGGGGAGAGGCAGCCAGGCTTCCGGTGGGTGAGTCAGCAGGCGCTGGATGCTGACTCACCACAGGCATGCCAGTCACTGCCTATAGCTTAAAGGGGCAATGCTTGGCAGGCAGTGGTGGGGGCTTACATACCTGACCCTGTAGGCTGCCCTTGGTCCTGAACTGGACACACAGGTGGTCTGTTCTAGAGCTGGGCTGGGATACTGGGCGGGCCCTCCTGTCCTGTCCAGGAACTTCCTCTTGCTCACCACAGAGGAGTAGGTGGCAGCTGTTGTTGACTGCCCCTGGCCCAGGGAACAGGGCCTGGGGAAAGGCAGGAGCAGTGACCTTGCAGGGTCAGCCAGACTGAACTGTTTGGGGTCAGATCCCCACTCTGCCCATTTTGAATGTGACATTGAACAAATTGCTTCTTCTAGTTCATTCTCAGTACTTTGTATAGGTTTCAGTCCCATGGGTATGGCCCATCTTTCAGAGAAGCAGCTTTTTGGTCGTCCCCCCCAGCAAAATGAAGGTGCAAGCCCTGCTTGTATGGATGCAGATAGCCTTACCCAGTGGCCAGGTGTCAGGTTCTGGTTATTGCAGCTATGGTATAATGGGCCTAGGATCCAGTCCTGACCCCATTACTTCCTCACCTGGGCAAATGGCATGTCCTTTTTGCCCCTCAGTCCTCTTCTATTCAGTGAGAGGAAGCATCTCACCCCGCAGGGTGGTAGTAAAGATGGGAGATAGTGTTTCCAAACAAATGGCATCTGTTATTATTTAATTGATGGGATTGTGGCTGCTTTTCATTAGAGGCAAATAAATAGCCTCTGATGATGTACTCATAGGATCTGTGACACAAGACTTCTCTGGTTAGAGAACTAGAGCTTGCTACACTCTAGGAAAGTGGTTCTCCACCTTCCTAATGCTTCAGTCTTCAAATACAGTTCCTCATGATGTGGTGACCCCCCAACCATAAAATTATTTTCATTGCTATTTCATAGCTGCAATTCTACTATTGTTATGAATCATATTGTAAATATCTGTGTTTTCTGATTGCCTTAGGCAACCTCATGAAAGGGTCTTTTGATCCCTGAAGGTTGCGAACCACTGTTCTAGGATCTCCTCTGCCTCCTGGAGTACAGCTGTAGGCTCCTCTTGCTGCCCAGGCACCCTGAGGAAATGAAGAAGGGATTACAGACTGAGGTGGTCGGGCCTTTCTGCAGATCTGTCCCTGTCCTTCAGTTTAGTTGTTCAGTGGCATTGAAAGCAGGAGTGAGGGAAGCGTGGGAGGTGGAGGTAAGCACTCTACCAATTGAGCTATATCCCCAGCCCCTTCAGTTGTTTTAAAAATTTGAGTTTACTAGCATTCAGTTGGTGGAGGCAAGAGGATCAGAAGTTCAGTGTTGCAGCTAGGCATGCTGGTGAACACACACACACACACACACACACACACACCCCTCAGCACTTAGGAGTCAGAGACCATAGTAGGACCCTGACTCAAAAAGAAAAATTGGATGTTATTCTCAGCTGTATAGTATAGAGTGAGTTCTTACACGAGAGTGTTTCAAAATATATAAATAAAATTGAACTTTGGTGTGCCCGAGATGTGTTTAGCTCTCTGTCCTACTGAGCCCAGGCCCC